GAGAGAGAGAGAGAATTTAGTTAATTATATCTCGGAGAGATTTGTCGTGAACAAAAATTTGAAAAAGCACGTTTGATTAAATTTATACAAATATTAGATAAATTTAAAGAGAATAAAAAAGATAAAGAAAAGTTGTAAAGGTCGTTCACAGTAATGTCGTTAAAACGGATAACGGATAATCCTTAATGTAGAAAGCGAATCTGACGGTAGCGTAGTTTTAGGATTTCAAGATAAATGTTTCTGAAAACATTTACCTCGTGGTCGCGTGCTCAGAATCCGTCCGAGTCGCCCATCCTCCAGCTTCCAAGATTCCCAGACGACTCCGGAACATGGCGGATCAATGATCTATTTGCTCTACCTCATGCGTACCGTACGTACGATGCGTGTCGATGGAATTTTTATTATGTGCAATCTATTCAGAACTCAGACGGCGAAATAGATACGCCGTAGATCTGAGAGCATGAGCTCCCATTTCAAAGAGGACTTTTCTCTGAAAGTGTAAAAAATGGATTCTCTCTTTCTATCTCTTTCTTTCTACCTCGCTCGATTTTATAAATTAATCTTTTCTGCACATCGCAGAGAAAAACTTGGAAAAACAGTATAAAAAGTATAATATATTTAACAATAATAAGAGAAAAAGAGATAGAGAAAATGCCTTTTGCATTTATATGTTTATGTTATTTGAATGCGTTTCGTATTTTCTAGAAAATATAAGGGTCTGAAAACACAATAACTCTTAAAGCGATGTTTTTACTTTTTTAAATATTTAATATCCTATATTTCTCTTTCGCTTGTAAAAAAAATCCTAAATACATCACCGTCCCGACCTTTACCGGCGGTAAGTGCACCGCCATTGTTACCGTTTTAGCTTTTTTCATCGATTACCATTACCCCAAAGAGGGTGTCCCCGCGAAGCTTAGCACCAGCTCGAGAACCGTCCTTGTCTCGTATATCCCTCCCGTATTCCTAGGATTAGACCTGGCTTTAATGCCCGACGACAAGGGATTTCGACGGTAATTGAATCCGGACACGCCGGCACGTCGCGGTTAAAAGTTTGAGGAGTGTTTGGCCATGGCTGTGTACGCAGACGGTTTTGTCCGGCCTGTGTCCGAGGCGCGATCGGCTTAATTGACAAAATTAGATCTCGGTGTCCCAGCTGACGACTCCTAAGTGTAAGGGTCCCTTCAATTATGTAAAACGGTAATAAAGCACCTTTAGCGCGCGCGAACTGGCGCATGCATGTTAATTCTTTCTGAGTGACCCGACGAACGGAACCGGAAGCAATGTCCCCTTTTTGTGCTAGCTGGCCCGTGCTTAGGTGCTTCGCCCATCGATTCGGTGGGATTCGCGTTTTGATCTGTCACGTGGAAGAAACCGATCGCCCTCAACCGAGCACCCGAGCTGTCAAACCTCCCCCGTAATCGGCTGGATGAAGACCGCTCGCTTTGCGGGCTCGTGCTCGCCCATAAAAATATCGAACGACCACCGTTTCGGGGCTGCACGTATTCCCATGCGCGCATATGGAAACGCGAATAATGGCACCACGATATTTCGTTTCCTCGTCGATTCAGCTACTGATTGTCGGAATATAATTTCGGAAAAGGATATTCCATTCTATGAGATTACGCGCGATTCGTCGAGAACACGACGTTTAACGTTGCCGTTTCCGCGAAACAACCCTCTTGCGGCGCAAGATAAACACGCAAGAAATGGGAAACAAAATTGCGCGGTCGACCGGTGGACACGCTAAGTTTCAGTAACAGATATATATAAATTACTGACGGATGGATAAAGCGTTCGTGTGTTCCTGGTTGAACCACCATGCTGCAGTCCGTCACGCTCGCAGCTTTAATACCGAACGGCGAAATCCGCTGGAGCGATTTCTGGGGATGATCGGTGCATCTTGCGGAGAGCGAAGCGGTCTTTAACGTGGGCGAAAGGTAGGTCAGACCGTAAAAAGCCGCGGCGCGCATATGCTTTATACATACATGTGGGGACACACGTACATAATTCACAAGCTGTCTCTCTCTTTCTCTCTCTCTCTCTCTGCCTGGCATCGGCTGCTTCAAAAGAGGCAGCCAGGTGAAGTGTACGTACCCCGGCGAGGTGGAGGCCACCTTCGCGCACGCACGAGTAGTTCAGGTGGCATCGATGGCGCGCAAAGCGGTTATTTTTAGTTCAATTTCAACGCTCGAGCGGCACCATAAAGCGAGAACGCCAGGTACGTTATAATATAACATAACCGACGGGCATACGGCACGGCGGGAGGGGGAGGGATGAGAGGTAGGGAAAGAAGGGAGGACGTCTACGGAGGGGAGGAGGATTTTCGCGCGAGCATGCTCGCGAACGAGCGTCGCCGGGATCGTTAAAAGCGTCAACTGGTTCCCGCGCGACGGAATTTTCGTCATCTTCGTAGAAGGTGTTTCTTCTTTTTTTTCTTCTCTCTCTCTCTCTCTCTCTCTTCGATGCACCGCAGTTACCTCGTAATTTTGTGAAACGCAAATTCCCGTCATCGTATTGAGCATAAAGATGGCCGTTTATCGTCCCCCGTCAGCAGTTTCCTCGCTCCTACCCCGACTCATCCCCTCGAAGACCGAAAGTCGCGCGCGGATTAACTCTTAACTGCTGACGTTGATAAACTCTTTTGGTCGTGTAATGTGTTAAAAGTTGGAAAAGCTGTTTCGCGCGAGCGTTTCCGAGGAAAGAGAAAAATTCTATCGAAATACTTTACGAACTCGCTACTTGCCGCCGTGTCGCGAGCCATATTATTGTTCCGGGTCTAACTGAAAATATTTTAAGAGAACGTTTCCAACTACTCCATTTTGTGAATTTTGATAATTTATTTAATAATAAAATTGATAAGTTTGCTGAATTTATTTATTAACGTTAAATGACAAAACTCATGACGATTATTAACATTTCTTGAAATTAAATCTAATTCGTAAACTACATATATATTGATGTCTCTTCTATGGAACTCGAAACACAAAACAACAGAATTAAGTACACAGAGAAAGGATTTAATAATAAGTATTATTTTATTATTAATATTTGTCGAAATTATACTCTACAACAGTATAAGTAATAGTGAATATAAAATCACACTAATTTCTACTAATATAAATTAACTTTAACCTCGATTTAATTCACATTTTATTATTTTTCAGTCTTATAAATCAGAAAAAAAGGAGAAAATTAAATCGAAATTAAAATTAATAAACATTAATAGTAATGGACGTTAGACGGAGATAAAAACCGTCACAATTATTTCGTAGTTGGAAAAATTTCACTCGTATATTATTTTTTTGCGTTTTCTCGCATTTGTCGCGGACAATCTGCGGAAAATCCGCGCTATTTCTCTGGAAAATGGTTTCGCACGCCGTCGTTTTTCGCACGCGCGCGTGCCGCTCGGTCGGACGCGCGGTTGAAGCGCGCATTACGCATAGGCCCTCGACGTTACGCGGGCACAAATCAAAATCAATAAGCCGATTATTGGTCGCGCCGAGCGGAGATTACGTCGCTTTGAATTGACACCCCGACGGGGCGGGGAGCCGCGGTGCGCGATTCAATCCCGCGAGCTCCGCCGACAGGCGGACATCCGTCCCAGTTCCTTTTTCCACGCGCGGTGCCGACGGAGTCGACTTGGGGTAAAATGCCGCTCGATGCGAAACGCTACGACACCTCGCTATCCGCGCGTAGCCAACGAAACGCGTCCCCCGTCCTCGCGGAACAAACGAGTGCCCGCGACATTCTGGCATTCAGGCGCGATGTGAAAGACGCGCGAACGGCTCGTTTTCCGCGTAATTTCGTCCGCGCGACCGCGCGGCAGCGCGTATATTTTCTCCCCCGTAACCGGAAGGGAATTTTATCAATAGCGCGCCGCGAGGGTCGCGATGCCGCCGTCGCGCAGCGCCATCGTACGAGACGCTGGAACGAAACGAGACGTCGCGGTAACGAGATGATATTACCAGGAAAAATGGGGGGTGAGAAAAGAAACGCTCGAATATTATTCAGAATTTAATGCGCGTTACCGATGTGCAGAGCCGTGCGAATGGTTGGTTGGTGATAAAATGGTACACCGCATCAGGCCCCCCCCGGCTGTTGAGATTTTAAAATTTTTGTTGGAAATGTTAGGTCCTGCGAACGTTAGAGGATTTCCTCTAGAAACGAGAATAAATATTAAATTTTGGAAATAAAAAATAAGAATAAAGATTAAATGCAACAGCATAAGCTATATCTTGTGTTTATTGTGTATTACATTTAATATTTATTTCCTAATTTTTATTTTCAAAATTTAAATGTTTACTCCTCTTCCTAATATTTCTTCCATTGTGCGCAGGACAATACTTACTTTTATCTTACTTTTTATTTGTTCTGCTCATAAACTATATTGTTATTTTATAATTGTTCTGATAATGTTATAAGTTTTTATTATATTTTTCAATCACCTTTAAAATTCTTTATAATATTGAATTTATGAATAAAAACCTTTTCTTGGTACCAAGGTCCCAAAGAGAGCTCTTTGCACAGCCTGTTGATGTGATATTTTAAGCGGGACAAAAATGAGCAAAATGACTCTTTGACAATCATTTTGGCGTTACTTTGACATCATTTTAATATCATCAAAATTTTTTTGTTTCTACTTGGAGTATCTCGTGAAATTATAATTATAAAGGAGAAAATTATATTTTGCATATCATTGTTTATCGACAACGTTTATTTTTACCAAGCGAGAATAATTGAAAAGTATATTTATTTAAATAAACACTGCTGCTATACAGCTACAATAGAGGTTTTAAATTTTGTGGAGATTTAAATTTTGCACGGTAAACAAAAGAGCGCGATATTTGGTTAGATAACGATGCAAACGTCAGATTTTCCTCGTCGAGTTACGATTGCTAAAGTATTTCTTGCTGTCAAAATTTTCAGTTTACCTGTCCACCAAAGATATTCGTAAACCCTTCGTCATATGAACCAGCTTTTATTTTGATCTCGAAAATTTTCACGAAAAATTTAATAATAAATCCAGTGAAAGACTCACTTAGAATTTCCAAGGGACCAAATAAGAGGTAATGGAAGTCGTAAAGTTCCAATCCTTCTTAAAATAAAACTCTTATAGGCATAATTATTTCTGCAATTTTTCCGAAGAATTAATTGTAAATTAGACGTAATAAGATCACGACCCTTTAATCTTTTATCAATTCAATCGAAATTCAAAAATATTATATCAAGACATCTGGTTATATTTTGGAATGTCTATTTTTCTATTGTCAACTTGACAGGATGGGACAAACTATGGGCAGGATGCCTGAAACATGGGAAGGACTCCTGGAAGAGAAAGATCGCGTTTTACACTGGAGTTCCGAAGTATTGGCGAGAGTGCAGGATAATGTTACGAACGAGGATACATTTTTGATGGACTACGACGATGACAAGATCAACGCCAAAATTGATACGTGGATTAAAACCAATCGGACGCGGGTTGACGAGACGTTTAACAAATTTCCAAATGCGCCCGATCATCTCAAAAACGTAGTCAATACCGGAATCGAAAAGGTGACTGATGTATTTGACTTCTTTACGAGATACATACGTCAATTGGCACTAGAACCTTTTACGAAACGTTATTTGTAAAATTGTTTATTGGGCGTATACGTCGCGAGGTTGAATCGTTCGTTTCTTGTGTAATGTTTAGCTCACTGAAGAAATACGAGGAAAAGTAAGAAAGGATTACCAGAACGCGTACAACGACATCAAGAAGTTCAACAAGAAGGTGGACCAATTGGGCGCGGAAGAGAGGAAGATTCACGCGGATATACAAAGTCTGGAAGCGGAATGTGCGGGCGATACGCAAAAATTTCAAAAAAAGTTCGGGCCGCTGCGAGTGAAGGTTTTCGATAACTTAAGAACCGGCGAGAAAATGACATTTCAAGAGAAAAGGCTAAAAAGTGACTTTACCAAAAAAGTACGAGTTTACTTTTGTAGATATAAATCTCGCGGCCAATATCCCGATAATTTGATTACGATTATTTTTATCAGGTTTACGATATCGATCACAAAAACTCTGCCGAGTGCATGAAACGGATCGACAAATTGCTTAAAGATTTCGAGAAAAACGCGATGAAAGCAGTATAAATAAAGTTGACGGAATCATCGTCACGACTTGCGTTTTCAAATGCTACACGATAAAAAATGATAAAATAATGTAATAAATTTTCTTTGTACTATTGCTTTTTTATGATATCAGCTTTACCCAAAGTCGTTACGTAAGATGAATAAAAAAAATTTAATGTTTTAATTTTTATTATTAATTTATATCAACCATGCAGCGAAGAATAGATTCTTAACCTTTCCCACTATTCTGTACACAATTGGCTTTTACATCTCAAATGAAAAAGGAAGTAACGAATTCCTTGATAACCTTCCCCTCGTAATTTGGTGTGGTGTGAGTGAAAGGTAAAGCGAAGAAAAGAAAAGAATCAAAGACCATCTTTGCCTGATGAACATCTAGAACGGAGATAACTGGATTATATAGAGTGTGCTGAAATCACCGAGTATCTTTTTCATTATACTTTGACTTATTTGGAATCGAGTTTTTCCTCAAGAAAAATGGCGAAGTATCGTTAATATATAATTCGTCAAATAATTAATAATTCAAAAGAATTTCTATGCGTAAAAAGAGAAGGAAGTAAGGAGAATCGCGTCATCGTTCGAGAAATTTTAAACAGATTTAATAGAAATTTAATCTGGAAGTTTAGATCTAAAAGTATATAATAACGATAAAAGGATCGGAATAACGCGATGAATAATGATCTCGATTAAAAGGATTGAAGGAAGAATCGTGTCTAGCATAAAAATTAAGAGAACTTCCGAATATTTTGCATAAGATTCACCTCTGCTTCTCGCGGGTCGCGTCACAGATTCTCTTCGGGATGCGATCGATGGATCCGGACTGGCAGTGTCATCGTGGAACAACGTCAGTAACCATCGTGATGCTTCGAAACGGGGCATGCAGATCCTCTTGCGTCGCGTATCTAGAATGCCGTACTCCAGATGACGGGCGGCAACGGGATCGGGAGGGAGGGAGAGAGAGAGAGAGAGAGAGAGAGAGAGAGAGAGAGAGAGAGGAGGGAGAGTAGAGAGAGAGAGTGAGAGAGAGAGAGAGAGAGAGAGGGAGAGAGGGAGATCGTTAGAATACATAAACCATTTTTAATAATCGCCAGGAATTTATTTCTGTTTCGATCGAAGGTAACATTTAAATATACCGCACGATTTGATTCTATCGAACTAACGAAATCTGCTGGTTTTAATAAGATTTCTATAACTTGATACGTTTAACGCAACTTATGTTAGAGTAATGGGATTTATGCTGTTCAAATTAAACGGTTAACGAGATTTTCAAACGTAATAACTTTAGACCGAATACGGATGCGTCGATGGGACCGATCTTAACGAGATTTTCAAAATTTGACACTTTCGATATAGCTCGTATTAGAGCAATTCAGCATTTAAATTATTCGTACCTCGATTATGCAGTTTTGATCCTGTTTTGAAAGATGTAATTTATGCCGATAATTAGATTTGTGCAATCATATAATATATATAAAATTACTAAATTAATGGCGATAGTTACAAAATAAAATTAAAAATATAGGATACAATAAAATAAAAGAACAAAGAAATTTATAAATTAAAATGAATTCTGATAATTGAGATAAATTGACCCAATGTTCAGAATATTTTTAAAATTATAAATAGACTTATTATCCATAATTTGAAAGTAATGTAGAAAAAACGTCGCTATTTTCGGCTACCACGGAAACATCAATTTTGTAAAAATATGCGTAAAAGATACGGAGAGAGAGAGACTCTTCTAAAAATGTTAATCGTTTAACCATCAGATCGAACACATACAAGTCCGAACGTGATATACCTATGGTGTTATAAATATTCTAATGCACAAAGCCACATCAATTACGAGTGTACTCGAATTGTATACATATTGTACATAATATCAATTGTGTCTATGTTTGCGTTGATACAATTATCATATTGCTCCTTAATATAGACGATAAAAAAAGATTTGTATTCCGAAGTAACATAAATAACAATGTTCAGAAATTTGATTTACGTCATCATTTATTTGTTTTTATTTCTTTGATATCATATCTATATCTTTTTGAATTCACATTGTTGCACTTTTTGATTCTCGCTGTTGTCAAATACCGGCCGTTGCAACATTTCTTGATGATGATAAATTTTTAAAGTTAATTATTATTTTTAATTGGTAAAATTGCTGGCTATTTTATCGATATTTGATACTATAGATTTCTGAAAATTTAAAGATTTAAATGATTTTTCAAAAATCAATATCTTAAATATCAAAAAACTCTAATAGAATTAATTTCAAAAGTTATGATTCCATGAATTATTGCAACTTGATTTAAGAATTTAAGTTATGTAAAAATTAAATAAAGAAGTAAAGTAGCAAAAGAACGCAAAAATAATTATAAGTCAAAGTCGTCAATTTGTTTATTTTCGTAATCAACTTTCAAATTCTGGAATTAACTCTCAGCATTATTAGTAAAGAATGCAGAATACTTTTTGTCGCGATTCTTGGAGAGAGAAAGAAGAAATAGAGAAATGCCAATCTTTTTTTTTAAAATTTACGGAAAGTGAAACAAAATTTCTCTCGAATATCAAAAACACGATATTCGTAGGATCACGTGGGATTTACTATGATGTCTAAATAGTAATATGCGGAAAAATTTGTGCTATTAATGTGTGTGTGAGATCTTCGATAAATTATCCAATCAAATTTGTCGAGTGGAATTTCAAATAAAATTCCCGATAAATTCTGCCGTATGTGCGGTTTCAACGATCCGACCTTGTTACCTGCGTTACCCAATTATTTAAAAGAGAGATCGATATAATTTGTTTCATAACTACGCAACACACATGTTGATAAATATGCGATATATACAATTCATAGTATTCTTATTAGTGAAACAGAAAGTGTTCACACGACCTTCAATAGCCGTGATCGTCTAGTGGTTAGGACCCTACGTTGTGGCCGTAGTAACCCAGGTTCGAATCCTGGTCACGGCAATGCGTGAAAGCATTGTCACGGTGGAGGTTTTTTTTTTCTTTTATTTTGCACCAAACATAAAATCACATAATTTAAAAATAATTTGAGAATACTATTAAAATAAAAAATTTTTCGTTGACTTTTAATTTATTATTATCCTAATTATCTATCATTCTATATATATTATCTATCAAATATTTTATATTTATTATTTATTATTATTATTATTATTATTATAGTATAAAATTATGTGGAATTACTAGTCGCACTAAAGATATTATAATTAATTTTATAATTATTTTATAATTAATAATTATATAATTATTAATCCTCGTGATCAGCAATGCAAAATTCTATGAATTATTTCGTGGCTATTATACAGTTTTGTTCTTCGTAATAAATCAAGAAACAATGTATGAAATGAAAGCTTTGATTCTGATTTTGACAGCAAAATCAGGCACGTTATTGTAATCATTCTCCGAATACTTTCGCCGAAAATACAAACAGATTTGCGACATTCGATACGTCGCGGGTGACATTGCACTCAGTTGAATTAAAACGCGAAATTGCATTATTATTAATTATGTCAAGGAAACAATTTGAAGAACGCTCAACACACACACACACACACACACACTGCAAATTGTGCAATCATAAACTATTATAAGTCAAAGTGCAATTGCTTGCTTATAACAGTGCAGTGCGGGTTCGTGTGCGATTTATATCTTGCTAGTGAAATTTTTAATTGGATTAATCTCATTAATCATCCGATATGATAATCCGACATCAATTTTCATTAATCTATATTCTATGCTGTGCTGGTTCGTATAAATCATCTTTTCAATTAACATTATTTAATTATGTTTTAATGATAATTTCATCATGATTACGTTGACAATCCATTCTCTTGAAATAATGCAAACATTTAATAGCAATAAAATATATCAAATATAACATTTTCATTAGAATTTCATTAAACTTTAAACATAATGAAAAATCTTTTTTTACAATTTATATTAAAAATGTTCTGTTTTAGACAATAAAAAGAAATATTTCTAAAAGTAATTTCATTTTTTAATGTTTAATGTTTGCCCTTGATATTCTAGGTTTTAAAAGAGATTTACAATTATGTATCCAGTAGTAACAATAATTTATATGTCACTGGTAATTTTTATCCAATTTCGTAATTAGTACGATATTTGCAGCGACAATTTATGGCTCTTTATTGGATGCAAACGATGCCGAAACTTGTAATTTGCTATGCGTACAGTGTAACGCTTCCGCGGTATTTGCGAATGGTCACTGTGAATGCAATTTTGCTGACGACATCGACAAAGGTATTATCACATATTTATATATCATGTAAACGAGATGGATTGCCAAAACAATTTCTGAAAAAAAAAATATAATCTCGCCTGTTTTCTATTTATTTTCACTTAACATCGCGTAGTCTCAGGTGCGGAATGCGTACAGCGCGTACAAAGAGAGATTCAGGATTTCGAACTGAATATCCTTTCCGAGGATCTCACAGACGAGGAGCGTAATGTTCGTTCTATTTTAAAATACAGACGTCGCCTTAGACCGGGTAAGATGATTGGAATTGTATAATATATGGTTAACTCTTTCTATTGACTTGAATTATTTCAAAAGTGTCACTCAAACTCGTATTTTGTATTTCAACTTTAAACATTTGTCATAAAAGAATCTAAAATTTCTCTTCTACTGATTTCTATCAATGTAAGTAGCTTAACTTTAATAATTTCGGTTTAACTTACTTTTTATTTTAGAGTATTTTAAGAATTAGAAAAAAGATAAAAAAGTTAAACTAAAGTTGAATTTAATTTAAGATTAAAGTTAAACCAAAATTAGAAATTAATTTAATTCTATCATTAATAAAAATGGACGTAAAATTAAATTCAGTTTTATAATTAATTTTATAATTAATTATTGGTATAAAGGCAATGTCGTTCATACAGAATTGTATCCAAATCCGAGGGACGTAACATAAAACTCCAAAGATTATCGAATTATCTTGTAGGAGATGCCGAGAAAGTGGCACAGTATTTTATCAATGGGGGACCAGAAGCTGGTCATTCTCATTTTAGCAGAGCATTCGAAGCGGCTCGCAATAGTGCCGATTCTGCAACAAATTCGTTTTCGGGTGTGGTTAAGGAAAGTAACCCCGAAGACGGATTTCACGATGTATCGTTAAACAGTCCTGTTTCTTGGAATGCATTCAACTCTCCATGCTCGTATGTGGTATCAGAAGCTGTACCGTATGGGATCCCAACGATGCACGGCATACAGACGTATTCTCCGGCCCTCGGGGCGATAAATCCAGATCTCATCTCTCCAACAGGCGGATATGATCCGACAAGTCCGATAGGTGCGATTCATCCACATGGGTTACCTCTCCATCACGCTTTAGTTAGAGCGGTCACGCTTCCCGGGCACGTCTTGCACCATATACTGCACCCTCGTGTATTGCACCATTATCCCCTTCATGGCGGCATCGTTAGAAGCACTAATGTAAGTAGCGAAGAATTTGCAAAGAATTTGCGGTATAATTTAAAATCTAACAGATGCTAAATTCTGTATAAAACTGTATAAAATATATCTATGGAGTTTCATTTTTTTCAATAAAATTTCCAATAAAAGTCCTAGAAGTTATGGTTATACCCATCTAATGTGTATAATCATCAAATTAAAATAAAAAATATATTAATATCACGATTATATCTTTTCTATTAGTCACCACAAGACCAATCAGGCTTTGTCGGTCAGTCATGTGAAACTAATGATGCTTCCACTACGTCCAACGCCAGAAATAACGCAGTAAGTTTTTTTGCGATATTATAATTAGTAACTTTTATACATGTAAACTTTATTTAACAGTAGATTCTTGCGCAAATAATTGTAACATTCTGTACACACATCAAGTTATGATAATCCACTTATTAATACTTATTTTGATTGTTGAAAACGTTAAACGCAATTATACATAACTAACATTTATAACAAAAGACGAATTGTAAATCAAAATTTAAATTATTAATCTTTTTAGGATAAGCCTGAACAAAACAGATTAGCTGATTTAGTGCAATCTCCAGTGACATGGCTCGCAAACGCTTTGCATCAACCAATCGCACCATCGCAATATCAGCATGTTCCATCATACCAATACCAAAACCCTTATTATAGTCCTTTGATGAGCATACTCCAACCTGTAACTAATGGATATATTCTTCAACCAGTTTCACATTATACGCAAGATACAACAGACCAGTTAGTTTCTGCGACTAATCCACATTCTTATTGTGACAATAACGCGAATACTCAACAGAGAAGCGCAGTTTCAACTGCTGACAAAACTGCACATCCTGATGACACAGAAAAATCTAACGACAGGAATAAAAACATCATTGATACATCTAAGAAAACCGAGAATGGAACAGATAAATCATAACAAAAATATAAATAAAATGTATGTACTGAAATTTAAATCATGAATCTAAATTTCTTGATATTATTATGTCATATTTGTACAGTATTTTGTACAGAACAAACAGCAATGACAATTAAATTATCTTCGTAATAATCAGTGTTGGTTATATATTCCTAAAAATGTCAAATATTAACTTGTTCAGCATACTATTCCACGTTCCTACAAATTTATTAAAGTATATATACGTAATATTTTACATCTTGTATTATTCTAATCGGAGTTATGATTTAAATTTTGAACAAGAAATATGAGAAATACTATAGTTATTATCTCAGTTTTATATATTAAGTAAAGCAGAATATAATCTAGATAAGAATGTATATATATATATATATATATATATATATATATATATATATATACTACACACTA